TAGGCATTAAGCTCTTAACCTAAGTTTTATCATTTAACACACCCTTATGGGATAGGTTCTGTTATCATCTCTGTTTCATAGCTGAGGGAACTTAAATCTCAGAGAGGGTAAGCCACTTGTTCAAGGCCACACAGGAAGTAACCCATGCAGATTCTACTGAGAGCCATTTGGCTTGCAAAACTCTAGTGAGGATTTTATAAGACGGTGCACATTTAACACTTAGCACACTACTTGGCACATAGTAAGTACTCAGAAACTGCTGTTAGGAGTAGTCATTGTGATAATGTTTAAACAACAAAACTCCCCGGGTTATGCTCTGATCCTAGTTACTTGGCGAGAAGTTTGGTTGTCATTTTGGAGATACTCTTTTTTGTTTATTTTTATTTTTTTGAGACGGTGTTTCGTTCTTGTCACCCAGGCTGGAGTGCAATGGCGTGATCTCCGCTCACTGCAGCCTCCGCTTCCAGGTTCAAGTGATTCTCCTGCCTCAGCCTCCCAAGTAGCTGGGATTACAGGCACACGCCAAGATGCCCAGCTAATTTTTTGTATTTTTAGTAGAGACAGGGTTTCGCCATGTTGGCCAGGCTGGTCTCAAACTCCTGACCTCAGGTGATCTGCCCGCCTCAGCCTCCCAAAGTGCTGGGATTACAGGCGTGAGCAACCAATCCCAGCCTGGAGATACTCTTGACAAATGTCCTGTCTCTGTGGTGGCCCCTCAGGGCCCCAAAAGATTAAGGAGGTGGCTCCGGGGAGAAGCGAAGGGAGATGTTTGCTGTTAAAGCTTGCCGGTGACATCTCAGGATGAAAAAATGGGGACATGAGTTGCAGCACAGTCACTGTCCCTCTGGTGCTCAGTTTCAGGGAGCAGAGGTGGCTCCAGAAGTGCTCCCCCAGCCTGTCCACCGCTCTGCAGGCTAAGGAAGGAGGAAAACAGGACAGGGGGTGCTGAACAAGCAGATCTCGTAGGCTGAGCAGCTTCCTCAGGACAAGGACTCTGACCCCTGAGAATGGAGGAGGCGTTTTTCTCTGCCTACCTGAGAAATGCGCAGAAGCAGAGAGCGTGCCTCCTCAGAGTCCTCTCTCCGGTCACAGGCAGAGCAGGTGATAGAAGCTACTGGTGCTGGTGCAAGGAAATGTCTCGAGCCCGGCTCCCTGGGACAGAGTGCAGGGGATTGCAGGAGCAGGGCCTCTGTGCAGTGTGGATCTGGCAAGCCGATAACCTCCCAGGCCACTGCCGTCTCTGTGTGGCCATTTGACTTCAAGTGGGCACAGGAAGGGGTTTAGACAGTGCTCTCTCCTGCCGAGTTCCTCTTCAAGTAGCTCCTCAAGAAGCCAGGCCCCTCCTAACACAAGTGTTTTTCGTCACAGATGAGGAAGAGGAGGAGTTCATTGAAGAAGATCAGGAAGAGGAAGAGTCCACAGAAGGGAAGGAAGAAGGTAAAAAATTCATCTACCTCCATTGCTTCATTCCTTCACTCATTCCACAACAGGAGATGCCTACTATGTGCAAAGTGCTGTGTTAGACATTGAGAATGATACTGAGCCCTGTCCCCCAGCATGTGCTTTAAACCTATTGAAGGTAATGTCCTGTTCTCCTTACCCTTACAGAGGAAAAAAACCCCAAACTATTCATAGTAAAATGCTCCCATTTCACATCTAAATGATCTTCTTAGATGGAAAGCAATACAGCACAGCAGAAGGAAAAGACAGGGGCTCATGAGGTAGGGCGGGTCCATTGAGGTGTTTTGTTTGGCGAGCACTGTGTTTAAATTAAAAAAAAAATAGTACTTGCTGGTCAGGAACAGTGGCTCACGCCTGTAATTCCAGCACTTTGGGAGGCCAAGGCCAGCCTGGACAACATGGTAAAACCCCATTTATACTAAAAATACAAAAAAATTATTCGGATTTGCTGGTGGGCACCTGTAGTAGCAGCTACTCAGGAGGCTGAGGCAGGAGAATCCCTTGAACCCAGAAGGTGGAGGCTGCGATGAGCTGAGATTGTGCCACTGCACTCCAGCTTGGGTGATAGAGTGAGATTATATCTCAATTAAAAAAATTACTTGCTGGCTGGGTGTGGTGGCACATGTCTGTAATCCCAGCACTTTGGGAGGCTAAGGCGGGAGGATCACTTGAGGCCAGGAGTTTGGGACCAGCCTGGTCAACACAGCAAGACCTCATCTTTACAAAAAAAAATTTTGGCTAACACCCTTTTCGGCATTAGCCCACCTGAACCCAGGTTAATATAAAAAAAAAATATTAATTAGCCAGACGTGATGGGTACATACTTGTAGTCCTAGCTACTTGGGAAGCTGAGGCTGGAGGATCGCTTAAGCCCAGAAGGTCGAGGCTGCAGTGAGCTATGATTGCACCACTGCCCTCCAGCCTGGGCAACAGAGAAGGACACTACACTGTCTCTTTAAAAAAAAAATTAATTGCTAACATTTTTAAAATTAGGGTTTATTTGTTTGTTTGTATGTTTGTTTGAGATGGAGTCTCACTCTGTCACCCAGGCTTGAGTGCAGTGGTGTCATCTCGGCACACTGCAACATCCACTGCCCAGGTTCAAGCAATTCTCCTGCCTCAGCCTCCCAAGTAGCTGGGATTACAGGTGCGTGCCACCACACCCAATTAATTTTTTGTATTTTTAGTAGAGACGGGGTTTCACCATGTTAGCCAGAATGGTCTCGATCTCCTGACCTCATGATCCACCTGCCTTGGCCACCCAAAGTGCTGGGATTACAGGTGTGAGCCACCACACCCAGCTTATTTTTTAAGGGTTAAGAAAAAGGAGATTTCAACTAAGAATCTGCATTTTTACCTACTTGTGAAAGTTTAGAAAAAGCAAACAATGCTGGACTTGAACTTCCCTGCAGTCCCAGAACGCTGGCTCTGGGCAGTGACTCTCCCCTATAAAGGGTACATACCAGCCAGGTGTGGTGGCTCACACTTGCAATCCTAGTACTTTGGGAGGCTGAGGCGGGCAGATCACCTGAGGTCAGGAGTTTGATACCAGCCTGGCCAACATGGGGAAATCCCATCTCTACTAAAAACACAAAAATTAGCCAGGCCTGTTGGTGGGCCTATAATCCCAGCTACTTGAGAGGCTGAGGCAGGAGTGTCGCTTGAACTCCAGGGGGGTGGATGTTGTGGTGAGCCGAGTTCATGCCACTTCATTCCAGCCACTCCAGCCTAGGTGAAAGAGCAAAACTCCGTCTCAAACAAAGAAAAAAATGAGACATGCCCCTGCCAGTTTGCCCAGCCCACCACTGTCAAGCCTACTTCACTCATTCATGTTATCTGCTGGCCCCCTGTAGGCATCTGAGTTCACCAGCCTGGCAGAGTTTGATTGAGGCTGGGTTCTGAATCACAACAGCTCACAGTTTCTCTGAGTCTTGAGCTACTCATCTGTGCATGGGGGCATAACAGTACTGATGTCAAAAGGTTATAGCAGGGAGTAAATAAGATAATCATTTAGCACAGTATCTGGTGCATAGGAAAGACATTTCCTAATTAGCACAGGCTTGCAAAAGTTGTTTTTCAAACCATAGGTACTGCAACTAAACTCCAATCCAGTTGAACAATACAGGGTAGTCTTTTGGAGTTTTATACTGATGTACAATCCATAACGTTTGGGCAGCTAAATTCTATTTTGGTTTTAAAAGGAAGCGACCAGGCAGAATGGGAGTTTGATGTTTTATTCAAACTCCTGTCTGAATAAACGGTAGCTTGGCAAGCCTTGGATCCTCCTGAGTCCCTGTCTCACCAAGCGCCTCTGTGTCTTTTTCTTTATTTCAGGACGCCAGTAAGGAGCTGGATGAGTGAGACGTCCCCCAAGATGCAGAGAGACTGGGGAGGGTGGGGAGGGGCCCAGTGGCCTTGGCGACAGGCCCAGGGTCTGGGCCCTTGGAGGGGCAATGGGGAGGTAATATCTTCTCTCTGCTCAGAGAGGAGGGACTAGGGTAGGACCCTCACTGCTGCATCCAGCAGCCCCTGAACCAGAATTAGGGGAATGTGCTTGAAACAATCACACAGGACACTTTTCTACCCTGGTGCAAAATGGAATATTTTGTACATTTTTAAAATGTGATTTTTGTATATACTTGTATATGTATGTCAACTTGGTGCTTTTTGTAAAGGAACTTTTGTATAATGCCTGGTCGTTGGGTGACCTGCAATTGTCAGAAAGAGGGGAAGGACGCCAGGTGGATACAGCTGCCCACTTCCTTTCCTGGGTGGGAGGACTGGGTAGCACCACAGGGACAACCTGCTATATTTCAGTGCCTATCCCAGACATATGGGGTGGTAACTGAGTTTGTGTTCTATGTTGTTTTAATAAATGGACAATGCTTTCTTCCTGTTATTCAAAGGAGCCAGGGTTTCATTCGGCCTTTTTTCTTGGAGATGAGCGTTGGCTGTAAATGAATAGGAGCCCTGGGAGGAGGTGACAGCAGGGCTAGGCTTAGGTCCCACCAAAGGAGTCCTTTACACCACCATTTCCCAATTTGCACTCCATGAAAAGCCAGCCCTGAGCTGGTCCTCCAAGAACAGGTTCAATGTGTTGTTGCTCTGGTTCTCCAGAAAACAGAGCCTGAGGCAAAGTTTAAATGCTGTAGTTGCATTTATAGGGCCCCAGGGAAAACCCCTGTGCCTACTGAAGGTTCACCAAAAAGCATTAAGGCTGGGCGAAGTGGCTCATGCCTATAATCCCAGCACTTGGGGAGGCCGAGGCAGGTGGATCACCTGAGGTCAGGAGTTCGAGACCAGCCTGACCAACATGGTAAAACCCTGTCTCTACTAAAAATACAAAATAAGCTGGGCATGATGGCACATGCCTGTAATCCCAGCTATTTGGGAGGCTGATGCATGAGAATTGCTTGAACCCAGGAGGCGGAGGTTGCAGTGAGCCAAGATCACCCCACTGTACTCCAGCCTGGGCAACAATATCGAAACTCAATCTCAGAAAAAAAAAAAAAAAGAGGCAGGTTAATAGGAGAAAAGGCACACGAATACACACATTTATTTGACCGTGGTTTTATGAGACACAGGAGTCTTCAGAATGAAGACCCAAAGATACAGGAGAAACTGTCATTTTTAGGCTTAGGGTCAACAAAGTAAGGACGGCTGTGTAGAAATACGACTGGACAAAGGAGCCTGATCTAAGGCTGATAGACGGAGTGGGAAGCCAGCAGGGCCTGTCTGTCGAGATTCTTCTCGGCTCCAAACCACAGCTTTTGTAAAAAAGGGGAAAAAACAGAAAAGAAAAAAGGTATATAAGAGATTTTTCTGGGCCTGTCTCCCTGCAGCATTCCTGCTTGCCTCATATGGGGCAGGACTCTCTCTGGATGGGAGTCTTCTGACCTACAATCAGACAAAGCTCAAAGGTCAAATGATTTCCTATAGCCAGTTTTACACAGAAAGGAAGGGGAAAATTAGAACAATTTGTATGTGGTTTTTTTTTTTTTTTCTTCTAAGATGGAGTCTCCCTCCGTTGCTAGGCTGGAGTGCAGTGGTACAATCTCAGTTCACTGCAATCTCCATCCCCCCAGGTTCAGGAGATTCTCCTGCCTCAGCCTCCTGAGTAGCTCGGACTACAGGCACACGACACTACACCCTGTTGATTTTTGTATTTTTAGTAGAGATGGGTTTCACCATATTGGCCAGGATGGTCTTGATTTCTTGACCTCGTGATCCACCTGTCTCAGCCTCCCAAAGCCCTGGGATTACAGGTGTGAGCCACCTCTCCAGCCTAGAGTAATATTTTTAGGTTTTATGGCAGGCTTTGGGGAAGAAGGGTTGTAGTTTTTATGGCTAGCCTTGGAGAAAAATAAGGGGTCAGAGACAGGAGGGAAAGAGAAGGTCAGAGAGGAACGTTTGTTTCTGGGGCCTTCTTTTCCGAGTATTGTTTTCTGAGACCCTACCAGGTACACTACTGAGGCCAACAGAGGGAAGCAAAATGAAAGCGAAGCAGGAACAGAGGGGAGCAGGTACAACGTGTTGCATGGCTGAGCCGGCCACAGCTTCACCAGAGTGGGCTGGTTGCTCAGTCATGTGAGATGTTTCCAGCAGACCATAAAGAACAGGAAGTGATTCAAAGTCCTTTATCTGGGAGAAGAAAAGAAAGAAATGTGTCTGCTGGCTCCTTCCTGTCTCCCGCTTCCCACGCTGTTCATCCCGCCTTGACTTCGGGTGGCGCAGCTGCAGGGGGAGCAAGGTCACCTGCCACAAAGGGTGGTACTGCAGTTGCGTCTAGAAGTGTTGGGAGGTGCCAGGGCCTCCATGGTCCAGTTGGGTTGGACAAGGGTTGGGGAGCTACTGCTGTCTCCACCTCAGTGAACACAATGGAGTCCAGGCTGGTGCCCAGACTTATTCCAGGAAAGGCCAAGTCAGCCACTGGCACTAGGGCATGAAGTTGTGACTATGGCCCAGTAGCATCCAGGATCTCCATGAGCCAGAAATCAGGGGCGTGGAGAGAGGCGAGGCTGAGCAAATCCAAGACAGCGAATTCACTGGGGCTGATAAGCCAAGGACTTGTCACTTTGAGGAGCACTGCAGAGCCTGTTCCCCCATTAGACATTCAGATCACAGCAGCAAGTTAAGGGGTCTGCGTAGTCCCACTGTAAAGAAAGCAAATTAACTTTAGACCATCAGGTTCATGGTTCTTGGAATGCTGCCTGACCCTCAGCCTCTCATTTTTTGTGTGTGGACTGAACTTCCGAACCTATGCATATGACATCCTCCAGAACTAGAGCAATGTGGAACTCACTTTAGGACAGTGCTCAAAAACCCTCACAACCTCTGCCCATTTTCACTTCTGGGAGTTTTTCTAAGGCTAACTCAGTTCCTAACTTTGAATTTCAAGGAATCAGATTTTGCTCTCATTTCCAGTCCTTTCTCAAGTTCTGAAGCATTTTGTTTTAATTTTTAAAACATGGTATAATACACACACATACCCATACAAGTGCACAAAACTACTCGTAAAGTTTAATAAACTATTGTAAAATGAAACCCTATGTTACTATCACTCAGGTCAAAAAAAAAAAAAAAAAAGAACATTGCCAGCCCTCAGAAGCCCTCCATATGCCCCTCTAGCAGAAAGAGAAACTGTCAATTTTTTTTTTTTGACAATCACATACTTGTTTTTCTTTATGGTTTGATTTCCCAAAGTATCCTCCCATAGAAAACTGAAGGAATTTGAGGCCAGAAGGAGGAATCTGAGGCCAGAAAGACAGAGGCTTTCATCACCTTGAAATCACAAAAATCAGTATTATAACATGTGCATGTTCTGTTACTTCTCCAGACTACTGATTTTGTAAGCAACAAGCATTTCAGCCCCATATCTTGTCACTTACTGGGGAGAAGAGACAGCAGTCAAGACTTTAGGTAATCAGTTAAAGCTTAAATTCCAGGAAAATACCTGTTAATTGTGTAAGGTCTGACCGTGCTGTGGATGGCATGGCAACCCCCGTGAACTACATGTACACCTCTGGAGGGCCTTACAGAATTAGAAAACATGAAATGGCTGTAAGATCGCAGAAACAGGAAGAAATGATCAACCCCTGTGTGATATTGTGCTGACCTAGAGCCAGAGCCTGAGCAACGCCATTTGTGTTTGGCTTCTGTAAATCAAGCTGCTAGCTTGCTCTGAAAAATGCCCACTATGTAAAGCTGCTTAAACTTTGCTTATCAGTAACTGCTCTCTGTGGCCCTAATGTGACAGGCAAGCAGTCCTAACCCACACCATCTTGGCTCCTGCGACTTGTAATAAGTAACTAAGATCTGTGACTTCCACCAGTATCCAGACAATGTGTTAACTAACTTCTGTAAGCCACTTAGGTAACAATCGAAGTGACAACATGTCTTCTAGCCCCTGGAATGTCCGGAGACCCCCACCCTCATCTCTGCCCAGGAGGTGATTTACAGAATCCACTAGCCCTCGGAATGTCTGAAGCCTTTTCATCCCCATCCCCGCTCCTCACCCCCACTTCCAAGGTGGTTTGTCGGGTATAAAAAGTCTTGGCACCCTCCTTTCGACGCCACAGGTTGGAGAGACGTGAGTCCTCTGTGGTCGCCGGCAATAAAGACCCTACAATCTGGCATACTTTTGTCTTGGTGTTAAATTTCTATGCTCGGTCCAGTATAACACCTGTGGCACCTACTTAACTCTGAGACATTCTCTATTGTTTCTTATTCTGGCCTCAACTGACAAGGCCTTTGGATTTTGTAACTGAGCTTGGCCAACCTCATGACTCCACACCCTACAACCCCCTCCCAGCCTGCAAACCTATGACCCCCTCCCAGCTTGCAAAAAACCACCAACTGGCTAGGTGAGGTGGCTCATACCTGTAATCCCAGCACTTTGGGAGGCTGAGGCAGGCAGATCACCTGAGGTTAGGAGTTCAAGACCAGCCTAACATGGAGAAACCCCATTTCTACTAAAAATACAAAACTGACCAGGCGTCGTGGCACATGCCTGTAATCCGAGCTACTTGGGAGGCTGAGGTAGGAGAATCGCTTGAATCCAGGAATTGGAGGTTGCAGTGAGCTGAGATCGTGCCATTGCACTCCAGCCTGGTGCAACAAGAGCAAAACTCCATCTCAAAAAAAAAAAAAAAAACAACCAAAACCAAAAAAGCCAAGTGTAACTTCTGTAATTTTCCACTGCCCACCCCAAACCTATAAAACCAAATCCTATCCCACCGCCCTCCACTGACACCCTTTTTGGCCTCAGCCTGCCAGTGAATAAACAGCCATATTGCTCACACAAAGCCTGTTTGGGGGTCTCTTCATTCAGAGCATGCATTTAACATTTGGTGCCGGAAACCCAGGACAAGAGTACTTCTTTGGGGACATCAGCCCCTGTCCCTGCTCCCGCTCTGGGAAGACACCCACCAGAAACCTCAACACATCAGCCCAGCCCAGCCCAGCAGCTTGTGCTTAGCATGCTGAATAGCTCTCTCGCCACCTTCAGATTGCATAAGCAAGCAGTCTCCCCCTCTTTCTCTCCCTTTTCCTTTATATTAGGGGAGAAAATGGCCCGGCACGGTGGCTCATGCCTGTAATCCCAGGACTTTGGAAGGCCGAGGCGGGCAGATCACGAGGTCAAGAAATCAAGACCATCCTGGCCAACATGGTGAAACCCCATCTCTACTAAAAAATACAAAAATTAGCTGGGCGTGGTAGTGCGTGCTTTTAGTCCCAGCTACTCGGGAGGCTGAGGCAGGAGAATTGCTTGAACCCAGGAGGCGGAGATTGTAGTGAGCCGAGATTGTGCCACTTGCACTCCAGCCTGGCGCCT